TCTAGTTCGCGCGCGCGGGGCGGCCCCTGGGGGTCCCCGGACGAAAAGTACCCCGGCAAGGTCCCGGCAAGTCCCCGGCAAGGTCGGGTCAGAGATGCCGGAGTTCTGTTTCGGAGTCCAAGAGGGCTCCAGATCGGTCCAAGAGGGCCCCGAGAAGCTTTCTAGACGGTCCAAGAGAGGCCCGAGACGGCCAAAGATCGCCCGAAGACGCCCCAGATGGCCCCAAGACAGCCCAAGAGGCCTCCAAGACGCTCCAAGGGCCTTCCAAGAGGCCTCCGAAGAGGGCCCCAAGTTGCCAAAATCGTTGATTTTCATTGGTTTTTTCAATGTTTTTTTGCGTTCTGGCCTTTTCGCTTCCGGACGCTCCAAGAGGGCCCAAGAGGCCTTCAAGACTGCTCCAAGACGGCCCACGAGGCTCCCAAGACGGCCCCGGAGCGGCCCAAGAGCGCCCCCCAGACGGCCCAAGTGCTGCCCAAGGCGGACCAAGAGGCCCCAAGACGGGCCCAAGAGGGGCTCAAGAAGGGAACCGAGAACTGAAAAATCGAGCCCTCCGCCCCAGAAGGCGCCCAGGACCCCGAAAGAGGCCCCAAGAGACTCTCCAAGACACCCCCAAGACGCCCCAATAAGCTCCCGTGAGGCCCCAAGAGGACTAACAACGTCAGGCCCCAGGCCCCAAGAGGACCAACAAATACCGCCAAGAGCCCGCCGAAAGCCCCTCAAGAGACCGTCACGAGAGCTCAGGAGGCCCCCTGGAGGCCTCCCGAGTTCTCCAAGAGGCCTAAAAAGAGGCGCCAAGAGGCCCCAAACGGCCCGAACGAGGCTCCAAGAGGCCACGAACGCGCAAGCAAACGCCTGCGATGGCACAATACGGGCCGGCGGAATGAGCGAAGCGATTAAATAGAAAACCAAGCATTCAAATATTCTCGAAAATAGTCAAACAAATCGTCCCCAGGCTCGTATCGTGACGATCCCGGCGTTGGTTCCCGACATCGCATCACTGCACCGACGTTGCAGACGTGCTGCAGCGGATTTGTGCGGGATTTCTGTCAACGCAAAACCCCAAAACGGCGAGTGAAAAAACGGAGTGAATTTCGCGTTGATTTCTTTTAGTCTTCACTCCTGGCCAAACATCCGCACGAAAGTAACCTCGAAATCTGGAACGAAATTCTCCAGGATAATCTGGGTTCATCCTATCGTTTTCCGATCCGCTCTGCGATGTTGGCGCCATGAGACGTCGCGTGGATCGTTCAGCCTGGAAGGATCGGCGGCCCTTCGCTCGCCCGATCGATCCGCAGTCACTGGCGGAGGCTGGCCTTGCGTTCGGTCAGGCGTGTGTCCTCCGACAGGCGGATTTTGGACGAAGAAGGAAACAGCCCTCCCCCCCAACAAAAGATTCAAAAGTACTGACCAAATCGTCCCCAGACTATTTGTTTATAACTATCTTTGAACATTCCTCAAAAAGTACTGACAACATCGTCCCCAGACTACTCTTTAAAAACTATGTTTGAACATTCCTCCTGTAGAGGGACAGGCCCGACTGGAAATGACTGGCGGAGGCTAGCCTTGCGGCCGGGGTCGGCCCAGAAAGGCCTCCGGAGGCCAAGCCCCCTTGACTTCTGACGGATGCTCGGAGGCGGCTCACCTGCTCGCGTTCCTCAGCACGAAGGAGGGAGCCCAGGGACACACAGACAAGTACGCACAAGTCCTAGGATCCCCCACGTTTGTCGTCATGTCTTGATCTTTCGCGTTCCCCCCCGCTTCCCATATTCTCGCACATTTTTTCCGGAGGATCGACGATGAATTGTGTCTGTGTATGTGTGTTTTTATCACTCGTGAACGAAGGAAGCTCTGCTGCGGACCAGGAGGATCTCGAGAACGCCCCAAGAGTTTGGTCGGGCCTGTCCCCCTACAGGGGGATTCTGGAAGAAAGATACAAACATACTCAACAAATACTTCAAAATGCTCAATGATGTTAGAGAACTCGTCCCCAGAGTATCTTTTGACTATTTTTGGATATGCCCCCCTGTAGAGTTGTGGATGCCATGACAATGGACATTCTAATAATCGTGTCATTGAATGAAACATGTTTCATCTGTGTGAAACATGTTCTAAACATGTTTCAAGCATGTGTTTTACATACGAAAAATGTGTGAACCATGTTTTAGACATCTGGGGATTACTTGACATCTCATAATCGTATCATTGAACTAAACATGATGAATATGTGTAAAACATGTTCTAAACATGTTTCAAGCATGTCTTTACATTTGAAACAATAGTTTAGACATCTGGGAATGATTTGACAGCATGCTTCCTCTCCATGAACCGACTTCCACAACTGTGGAGGCACAAGCCCGACTTAACCCAAGAGGGCTCAGGGCCCGTCGGCCGGCGCCTTCGGCAGGGGGCGGCCGGGACCCATCTCGTCGACGGCTCGAGAACTTCAGGTCGGGCCTGTCCCCGTGGAGGCGGATTTTGGACGAAGAATTGACAATAGTCGAAAAATATCCCCAAGTAGTCAAACATAGTTCAAAAAAAGTCGCCCCCACATTATTTTAACTATTTTTGAATGTCCCTCCTGTAGAGGGACAGGCCCGACTTAATGAGAACTTTCAATCCCCCCGCCTCCTCTGACTGTGGAAGAAATCACGGCGGGAGGTTGTGGGCCATTTTCAGCCCCTGGGGGCCCTCTTCCAAGCCCTGGGCCTGCGACAAAAGCACAGGGTGGAGATCCCCTTCCAGGGACGAGGTCCAGACCTGCGGGGCCCAGCTTGTGAAGAACTCACGAGGTCGGAGTTCTGAGGAGGAGGAGGACGAGGAGGAAACGGAGGCGGCGGAGGAGGAGGAGGAAACGGAGGAGGAGGAGGAGGAGGAGGAGGAGGAGGAGGAGGAGGAGAGACCGCGACGCAGGAAGCGCGAGTATGCAGGTTTCTGGGATTCTGAGGAGGAGGTGGAGGGGGAGGAGGAGGAGGAGGAGGAGGAGGAGGAGGAGGAGGAGGCGGAAGAGGACGCCCCCTGAATCCTTTGCCTCCACCGCGACTGCCTCCGGCGGCGCCTGGGGCGCCACGCCGTACTTCTGGCACACCTTCTCGTACAGCAGGATCTCTCTGCCCCTGTACTTCGTCAGGAACTGCTCTATCTCGCCCAGCTTCCTCGGCCCGTCGAGAAGAGCCCAGGGCTGGCCCGAGGACGGGATGATGACAGACAGAGCTGAGAGTACGGCTGCGCGGTGAGGATGCACGCCCCTTGGACGCGCATGCCAGCGCTTTTCGAGCGGGGCTGGCCATCGCTAAGGATGGGCAAGAGAGGCAAGGATGCAAGGGTAACCTTTGGCACGTTACCCATCCTTGCAATCTATTTCGACCGTAGGCAGGGAGAGGGGGGGACACCCTACAGCTGAAGGGGAGCGTTAGGGGGGGGTGACCGGCTCAGGGGGGGAAGCATGAAGGTGGAATCGGTGACACATCGCCGACACACCGGTGATATGCCCCCGATAACAGATCCGCACGCTACTGTGAAGGGGCCCCAGGACACACAAATAAATACACACAAATACAAAAATCCCCCATATTTTCCAATATTTTCTGGGTTCTTGTCTTCCCGCCCAATTCCCATACTTTCCCATATTTCGTTGGGGATCGACGATTAATTGTGTCTGTGTGGTTTTTTCCCTCCTGATACTGGGCGGGGTGGGCTATCCGGCCCCGATCGGCGATGAATGGACGATTGGGGGGTCGATGCAGCCGCCCCCCCCCCCTGATACTGTCCCCCGCTGACGCTGCCCCTGAACTCGGCGGCGAGCGAGAGAGGGAAGTGAGCAGGAGAAGGCCTGTTCCGAAGGCGGCGGGGCTCCTCGGAAGCCCTCGCGCACTCTGAGCAACGTTATGCGTCTAGAAGGAAGGCTCAGAAAACTCCTCAGAAAGCCGGGGGACTTCCAGGCCTTCTGAGAAGGCCCGCCCCCTCTCACTGCCGCCCCCTCGCTCGCCGCCAATGAACATGAGGCAGAGAAGAAGCGCTCGAAACCCCGTACATGTTCAGGCACAATGTGCGCAGGCCGCTGCCCCGTCCTTGCTCGCACGGCACGTTCGTACAGTGACAACCCTGGCGCTGCGTACACACACACACCGCATGGAGCATTCATCCTTGAACGGTCGGCGGTTTCTCGATCACCAGACCACTCAACATCGGCGACTCTGGGCCACTGGCGGCGTTCACACTTGACCGCCCGCGCGGGGTCACCTCGACACGACACGAATCTACCGTACTCCCGCCATCAGCTGGGAGCACCACCCAGCCCCTACCGGCATGTATGTCGCCGTCGACCAGCTGTTGGGGAAGAATCGGTAACCCACATTCTGAAGAAGGCCAACTGTCATTGCACCGACCTTGCAGACGTGCTGCATCGGATTTTTCGCATGGATTTCTGTCAATGCATGACCCCGAATCGGCGAATGAAAAACGAAATGACCTTCGCGTGGACTTTTTGTCTTCACTTCGGGCCCCAGAAAAAATCCGCACGAAATTCACCTCGAAATCCGGAACGAGATTCTCCGGGGCACTCCGGGCCCCCGTCCTATCGCTTTCCGAACGAAATTCGCTCCGCGAGGTTGGCGCCATGACAATTGAGACATTGGCGGCTCTTCCGCCTGGCCCTCATCCGCTTCAGCTCGGGGGTCCAGACCCTTCTGGTCGATTGAGGCCGATCCAGCCGTCGGGGATCTTCTGACCCAGGTCAGTCCAGACCCGGGCCAGTCAGGCCTTGCAGAAGCCTGTACTGCAAGATCCTGCACGCAAGCCCGGGTCAACGCGAAGGATCCTGCAGGATCCTGTACCCCAACCCAAGTCAATGCGACCCTGGCCCTGCAGGATCCTGCAAGATCGGGCGTTCTGGCTGACCCCCGTTTGCACTGACCCCCGTCTCAGAGCTCCCGAAGCCGTGGCGACGAAAGGCATCCCCGAGGCCTGGAGAGACAGACGCCAGGGAAGGGCCACCGTTGTGCCTCCGCGTGGCCCTCCTCCGAGACGAGCTGCGCTGGGGACGGGGCGGTGCGGAAACCCAGATCTCCGACGTTGTGTGCTTGTGCACGACGTAGACCCCAAAGGTCTAGACTTAGGTCGGGCCTGCCCCCCTACAGGGGGATTTTGGACGAAAAGAAACAATACCCGAAACAATACCCCCAACAATACCCCCAACATCATCATCATCATCATTGTTTGACTATGTTGGGATATTCCTCCTGTAGAGGGACAGGCGGCTTAAGTCGAGATCCCTTCCCCGGCTGCTTTTTGGCAAGCCCGGGTTCCCAGGGTCTGGCGAGGGCCCCAGGGGGGCCGAACATGGACCAACGCCGTCCTGTGGGGGCACCTGGGCGCCGCTTGCCAGGGGGGGGCGACACAGAGTGGACGGAGGAAGTAAGGTGCACTCCTCGGGCCCTGAAGGCCCCCCCCCCTTTCGGGCCCTACTTTTTGATCCGCGGGTCGAGAGCGCACCTCTTCCGGTCGAAGCTAAGCGGGCCGCGCGAAACTTGAATTAGGCGGAAGAGGAGGGAGGAAGCGGCGGAGCCGCATATCGAGACTTTCGGGCCCTACAGGACCCCTTCAGGGGTCCGAAAGGGCTCCTTTTCTGACCTCGCTGCCCCCCCCATTTAGGCCCCACCATGACGCGACGCCCACGGCACTTCGCTGAGGTCGGGCATGTCCCCTTGCAGGCGGGTTTTGGACGAAGCATCAAAAATATTCAAAGATATACCGAAAATCTCCAAACATACTCCAAACACCGTCTCCCGACTATGTTTTACTATTTTTGAATATTCTTCATGTAGAGGGACACGCCCGACTTAACATCTTGAGGCGTTATTAAAAAAAAAAAAAAAAAAAAAAAATAAAAAAAAAAAAAAAAAAAATCGGACGCGAAAAACGAAAAGCCAAACAACATGGATTGTCCTTCGGTTTGGGAGCCACGTCACTCCTCCGAGGGCTCGGCGGGCACTGGAACCCGTCTTGGGGCCATCTGGAGGCCTTCTGGACGTGCGTCGGAGGCTGTCTTGAGCTATATGTAGGTCTCTTGGCCCCTCTTGGAGGCCCTCTTGGAGCCGTCCTGGACCCAAACGCACCCTCTGGCACTTCGCTCAGCCCACGTCCCGGGGTTGTGCTCGGAGTAGATCTCCGTCAGCTGCCGCACGATCCACGTCTGGAAGGCCGCGTCGGCGACCTCCCTCGACGGCGGCCACTGCTCTGGCCCGGCGTTGCCCTGCCCGCCCTCGCCGGCGCCGTCGAACAGCAGCTTCGCGACGGTCTCGTCCTGGGGTTAAGGCGGGCGTGTCCCCCTCCACCTACTATTTCTGGACTATGCTTGGATATTCCTCCTGTGCAGGGACAGGCCCGACTTAATCCTGGGGGGGTGGCCGAGGCCTCTCGTTGGTGAGCGTTTCCTTATTCGGCGTTTCGACACTTGGCGGAAGAGGGGGGGGGGAGGGGGGGGGCGTCTGGCTCCGGACCTCTGCTCAATGCGGCTGTTTGGAGCCGTGCGTCCTATGGGGTAGGGGCTCCACCTGCTCGAAATTGGCGCCCCAAAGCAGCCAAGATTTGATCCATGGGGAGGGGGGGGGGGGCGTCCGAGGGCCCGCGCCGATGCTCTTAGGGAAGCTCTACGAGTCACTGGTGTGCATCGCAGCTGCGTAGCTGGCCTGCACCTCGAATTGGACTGAGGAAACGCACATCATCTCTTCAAAAATATACGGATAGTTTTTCAGTCGTACCTCTGGTTGCAGGCCAATTCGAGACGTCTCAGGCCTCACGACAGGCGGTGTTCGCACACACGCGTTCGGCCCGCGGAGGCCCTCGAGGGGCCCCTGGGACCGTCAAGAGCCTGCTCGGGATGAGCATCAAGTCGGGCGTATCCCCCTACAGGCGGATTTTGGAGGAAAACATAGAAAAGTAGCCAAAAACTACACCCAAATAGTCAAAACCGAATCGAGACATCGCCCCCAGACACTCGTCATTTTTGACTAGTTTCGAATGCGCCTCCTGTGGAGGGACAGGCCCGACTTCAGAGGAGCCAGGCCAAGGGAGCTCCACGTCGAGGCACACAGCCCGGCGCTGGAGCTCTGGGGTGGGCGGCACGGGGGCGCGGCGAGGCCTCCTTCGGATCCGCGTCCTCCTCTCTCCTCCTCCTCCTCCTGCTCCTGCTCCTTCTGCTCCTTCTGCTCCTCCTCCTCCTCCTCCTCCTCCTCCTCCTCCTCCTGCTCTTTCTGCTCCTGCTCCTGCTCCTCCTCCTCCTCCTCCTGCTCCTTTTTCTCCTCCTGCTCCTTCTGCTCCTTCTCCTGCTCCTCCTGCTCCTGCTCCTCCTGCTCCTGCGCCACTGCTTCCTGCTCCTTTACGTTGGGCGAGGCGGCAGTCTTGGGTAGAGCTGCGGCCTGAGCGCCGAGGGCGTCTCGTGTGAATCAATTGCGAGGACGTCCCACGCGAGAGCGCGATTCCGACAGAAATAGTGATGAGGAAATTCCGCGCAAGAGCGTGGTCCTCCAATCGCGGGCAAGTATCAGGCGGGAGCCGTTGTTCTTTTGCAGTTCGGGGGCCAACAGCGCAGTTTGAGAAGGAAGACTTTCCCTGATAAAAAAACACCATAGAAAAACTCCAATCAGTGGATGGTTTTCGCTGAGGAGATCGACCGGGAACCCGGGAGCCCGGGAACCCAGAACCAACCGAAATCGGCCCGGAACCAATGACCGGGAACCCGGGAGCCCGGAACCGGGAACCGGGGAACCCAGCCTGCCACCAAAATCGGCGGGAAATTTTCGCCAAATCTTTCAACCTCCGCTAGGAAACCTTCAGTGCAAGCACTGATTGGGGAACAGGGTGCGAACGCGATCCTCCAAGAGGAAGTATCAGGCGGGTGCCGTTGTTCTTGTAGTTCGGGGGGCCAACAACGCAGTTTGAGGAAGACTTCCCTGGATAAAAAACGGGTGCGAGTCTCAGGATCCCCGCAAAGCAGCACGCGACCAGGGTCTGAGTAAAGGTGAAGGGGCCCAAGGACACACAAATAAATACACACAAATAACAGGATTCCCTATATATTCCCATATGTTCTGGGCTTTTGTCTCTCCCCCCCACTTCCCAAGTTTTCCAATATTTTCCTGGGTGTCGACGATCAATTGTGTTTGTGTGATTTTTGCCCTCCTGGCTTTCTGTGGCACCGCGGGGATCGTTTGAACATCGCGCTGGGAAAATCAAACATACAAAAACATCTTCCCAACATGCTCACAAGTACTCAGGAAATCGTCTCCTGACTAATGTTTGGAATATTGTCGAATCTTCCCCCTGTAGAGGAACAGGCCCGATTTAACCCTATCCCCACTGGCGTGGCCTGGGCCCCACTGGCCGAGGTCCCACCCTGGATGGGGACATTGGCTGTTCCCTTCGAGCTTCTAGGGGCATACCCTCAGCTGGGGCGGTGGGATGGTTGGGAATCGGGACGGGGATGGGGATGGGGCAACGGGTCGGCGAAACGAAACTGATCATGGACCCTGGAAAAATCGCGGGTCTCTGAACATCAAAATCGTTAGTACGTGGAGGAAGGCAACCGGCATGAACATTGAATTTTGTTATTCCCATCGCACTTAAAGACCACATCCCAGAAATAATTTCGAGCACCCCGAGAAGTGTCGAAATAATGTCGAGACAATGTCGAGACAATGCCGAACGAGTATCTCCCAAGGCCCGACACGTGAAAACCCTCCAGTTTCGGCACTTTCTCGGTGCTCGCAGTTCTTCTTGGTGATCAAGGCTTAAGTAGGTTGGAGCATCATAAGACTTGCGGAGCTCCCTGCAGATTTCTTCAATCTGCGCTGGGCCCCCTCTCTCTGGCGTGCGGAGCGCGCCGGGGGCGGCGCCAGAGCCGCCGCCAGTGAGGCCCAGCGCCGATCCGAGAAATCCGCGCGGGGGTCCGAAAGTCTACGTTTATGCTGTTCGTCTCCTGTTGAGGAGGGACCGATCGTCCCGGCATTTCTATAGACCAACCACGACATGATCGTAGAACCCCGAAATGTTCAAATAACCAAAAACAATATCTTTGAACACAAACCCGATGTGTTGAAACGAGACAGGCTCAGCCGGAAATGTTCTAAGAGCATGTCGTGCAAACCACAAAAGGTTACTAGAACATGATTCGGTGTGCCTATAGGCGAGCAGGGACGCTTCGCCACTGCATGATCCTGCCGCCACCACTCGGACGTCCATTATTCGTAAACTTGTCGACTTCATGCGTTCATTCTTTCGCCGGATGAGTCGAAGGGCTGCCAGAAGGTCCTCGCCGAGAAAGAATGCACACGTCAAATCGATGCAAAGTCCTTCGAGAACATCCGTGTTTCGCAACACTGGCCGACTTCAAAAACCGCCGATGGCCCCCAGTCTTGAACGCCTGGCGTCGCAGTCGCCGCTGGCTCGACGCCCGCGACAGTCCTTGGCTATCGCGCTGACGGCCCCGCCGACCTTGTCCGCCGCCTTGCCGATCGTCTCCTGAGGAACAGCTTTAGCGGGCGGGGGTCGGCTCACGGGGCGACGCATCGGCCTGGACACTCGGCGACACATCGCCGAGAGGTCGACGACAGGCCCCTGATAGCGAGACTGACCGCCTCTCGACGGGGTGGAGCTGCGGAGCCCTGTCGGCGATCAACGGGCGATTTTGGGGGTCGATGCATCCTCCCCCAAACCTTCCCTCCCGAACATGGCCCTTGGTCTCCTTTTTCAACCACTCGCCCTTCTGCTCGAGACTATGCTCCATATCGTCCAGGACCGAGACATCGATGCCACGGTCCTTCGCGAACTGCGTGTTGGCGATGGTGGTCTTGGCATCCTTGTTGAACTGCTCCGTGAACTCCGCGAACCCCTCCTTCAGGCCAAGGTTCTCCACTATGCCCCACATGGCCCAAGGATGGACTCGGGCGCCAAGGAGCAAGGGGGGAGACACACGGTTGGCGACGCAAAGATAGCGCACAACACCGATCTCCCCGAAATACGCTGTCCTCAAGAATGAGGCTTCCTCCGCACACGCCCTCCATGTGCGGCGATCCCCACGCAAGGGTGCACGCTCTGGTCCTCTGCCAGGGCGTCTTCGGTGCACGCCAGTCGCTACCCCATAGGTTGGGGGTAGCGCGAATAGAGGAAGAACAAAACCGAACCGATATAGACAAATCAATAGACAAATACATAGATACATGCATCAACACATGACTACATATATATATATATATATACATACATACATATATATATATATATATGTACATACATATACAAATATGTGTATACATACATGATATACACCCCAACAACTGATTGAGGTCCGCCGGACTTCTTGGATCTGCGCGGAGGGCCCCTCCCTGGCGCGCGGGGCGCGCAGGAAGAGGCGGCGCCGCGGCGCCACCAGAGGGGGGGGCCCTCGCCGCTCCGAGAACTCGCGGGCGGACCTCCGAACGTCTATGCTTAGGTCGTGCGTGTCCCCCTACAGGCGCATCTTGGACGAACACTAAGACGTGCTCAAAGATACCCCCAAAATAGTCAAAAACAATAGAAACATCCTCCCCACACTAGTTTTGACTGTTATTGAATTTTCCTCCTGTAAAGGGACACGTCCGACGCAAGTCTGTATCTGCAATTGTTGCGCCCTGCGAGTGGACTCGGCGGGCCGGCGGCGCCACGCCGCACGCTGTCTCTGCGACGCCGACCGCCGGCCGCCCCGCTCCCGTGGCGCCGCCGACCTTCGCACCTCTGCAGATCTGCAGCTGGGCTCGGCCCTGCCGCTGGGCACTCTCTGGTCATCGCTCGGACGTCCATTCCCTGTGTTTTTTTTTTGTCGGTTTCGTGCGTGGCTTTTGCGCCACACGATAAAGGATGCTCCTCGATGGTCCTCGACGAAAGAAAAATGCACACGTCCGCGCGATGCCAAGCTCCCCTCGACGCGTGGGCGTCTCTGGCGCCGGGAGAGCTCAGCTGCGCAGGCTGGCCAGGAGGAGCAGGAGGGAGAGGTGGGCGTTTTTGTATATTCGGCGCTGCGGCATGGGGCGGAAGAGGGGGGGAGGGGGGGAGGGAGGGACCTCTGCTGATCGTGCGGCTGCTTCCAAGAGGTGGGCCGCTCTTCGATGGGGTCGCGAGGAGCGTCGCGAATGGCAGGCCCGGGGCGGCGATTGGGAGCCCGGGGCGGCGGAACCTTACCCCAAGACCCCACCCCAAAGACTCCGACACGATCTGCTGGCGTGCCACTCCACACGTATGTTCCAAAACCTCGGTGCCCGCCCTCTTCGCCTTCGATCGTGGCCCCTTGGAGGCATATCCCCCTTTGCCTGGCACGCGCATTTAGCGTGCCCTAGCAGCTAAGACCCGATCCCTCTCGAACCCGGACGCACAAACCCAGAGGGCCTCGAGAGGCCGGGGAAACTGCGAATGCCCTCGGCCTCGATGCTCTCTGGGCCTCGTGGAAGGTGCTCTGGGGGCCGTGGGGGCCTCCCGGGAAATCCTGAGGGCACCTTGGGCCAGGGGAGGGGGGGGAGCGAGGAAGGATTGTGGAAGGTTGGTCAAAAAAACCTTCCAAACACCTTCCAAACACCCCCCAAAGCACCTTCCAAACACCTTCCAAAAACCTTCCAGAAACCGTCCGAAAACCTCCCAAACAACCTTCCAAACACTTTTCCAACAACCTCCCAAGAAACCTTCCAAACACTTTCCAAAAGCCGTCGAAAAACCTTCCAACACTCCTCTAAATGACCTCAAGCAAAAAGCGTCAAAAGACCTTCCAGAAACCTTCCAAGCACCTTCCCAAACCCTCCTAACTAACTTCAAAAAAAACCTTCCAAACACCTCCCAAAAACCTGGCAACAAAAAATCTTCCAATGACCTTTCAAAACACCTTCCAAAAACCGTTCGAACAAAAAAAAACAACCTTCCAACCACCTCCCAAAAACCTTTCGAAGAACCTACCTCAAACCTTTTAAAAACCTAGCAACAAAAATCTGCCTACAAACCGTCCAAACAAGAAACTCCACAAACAGCCTTCCAAACATCTCCCAGAAACCTTTCAACAAAAAAACCCTCCAAACGGACGCCCGAAATGGGCACGGAAAGAATGGGTACAATTCCCAACAACAAATGTTGTCCCAAACCAGCAGCGGCCTCTGTTGGGCAGGCCTCCTGTCTCGAATGGACACAGGCCGCGGCGGCGCGGACGGCGAGTCCTGCTCAAAAGGATCAGGAACTGCTGTTGGGCCTGATACCCATTCTGTCCGTGCCCGTTTCTCGGGAGCGGCCAAGAGGGGGGTGTCCAAGAGGGGGGGGGGCAAATCATGACTGGCGGCATGTGCGCGGCCCGGCGAGGGGGCCTGGGACGTAATGAAACAAGAAGAGGCGCCATGACATCTGGGGAAAAATCATGGCCCGCGCCATGATATCCCCCCCCCCCCCCTAGTCATCACCCCCCTCTTTTCCGCTCCCGAATTTCGCTCGTGCAGCGTATGGGAGCGGGGCGGCCAACAACGCGCACCGGGCCCCCGCCGCGCAGGGGCGGCGCCTCGGCGGCGCGCCCCGGCGGCCCGAGGGCGCCGCGGTCGGCGGGGGGGGGCGCCCGCGGCGCGGAGGCGGCCGGCGCGCCCGGCGGGCGCCCTGGAGCCGCGGCGCGGCTCTGCCATGGGGTGGCGAGGGAGGTGGGGAGGGGGGGGAAAGAGAGGAAGAGGGAGGTGGGGAGGGGGGGAAGAGGGAGGAGAGAGGAAGAGGGAGGAGAGAGGAAGAGGGGAGGAGGGAGGAAGAGGGAGGTGGGGAGGGGGGGGGGGAAGAGAGAGCAGGGGAGGAGGGAGGGGGGAGGAGGAGGGGAGGAGGAGGAGGAACTGGAGGGTGGAGGAGGGATGGGCGAGGAGGAGGAAGGAGAAGGGAGGAAGGAAGAGTGCGGAGTGCGGAGTGCAGAGTGCGGAGTGCGGAGTGTGGAATGTGGAGTGTGGAGGAGGGGGAGGAGGGGGAGGAGGAGGAGGAGGAGGAGGAGGAGGAGGAGGAGCATGGGGGGGAGGAGGAAGAGGAGGAATGAAAGAAAGGGAGACGGGAAAACGAAGGGGAGAGGGGGGGAGACAATAAGGGAGGCGGAACAAGAGCAGGGAAGAACCAGGCTATCCAACGTAGTGGCCCAAGGAAGTTCAGCGGCCTTCTCACGCAAATCACTTATACTTAATTGTTTGGGCCACAGACCCGAATCAGGCCGAGACACTTACTCGTGCCAGTGGGGTTATCACGTTTAAGTGCGCGCGTGTGTGATGTCGCGAGCTCACGCATGGAGGTATGCAAATGAAAAATTACAAAATTGACAGAAACAAGCGTTATGGGCCCGCTGGTGCCGCATACGGTGGGTCTCATGCGAAAGAAAGACAAAGGACGGAGGGAGGGTGGGAAGGAGGGAAGGAAAGAGGAGGGAGGGAGGAGGGGGGAGGGACACACCAGGTGCGTTCGCGTCATATCTGACGTCCTACCCCTCCCTCCCATCCCTTACCGTTGCGTAGATATCCCCACTACTCGCGCTGGGCAATGATCGCGAGAGGGTACGCGATGCATGGTATAGCACGGCATGACATGGCGTAGAAGAGCACAGCAGTTCGCATCATGCCATGCCATTGCGTGGCATTGCGCAGTGGAGCAGTGCATCACAAAGCGTTGCAACGCGAAGCAGGCATCGCACAGCGGCGCAGAAAACAACACCACACAACATGTCATGGCATGGCGCCGGGATCTTTGGAGGGTAAGTGGATCGTATCCGAGAGGTCTGGGCCAGTCTGGACTCGCAGCTCCATGTCTAGCTCCATGGGCTCATCGGAAAGCTCAACACAAGGCGGGGCTGATGGAGTGCATTCGCTGGCTCTGCTTTCAACATCGTCTTCTCAAGCAAGAAACAATTAGATTTGCGACGCCAGAGCCATACTTTAGTCATTTGTGTGTGCGTGTGTGTGTGTGTGGTTTGTGTGTGTGTGTTTGCTTGTGTTGTGTATGTTCAGTCTGGTGTTGCTTTGAGTTTGTTTGGTGTGTTGTGTTATGTTGGTTTGTGTTTGTTTTTGTTTTTTTTCTGTGGGAGGGATCTGCCGCGGTCGATCGCCCGGGGGGGTTCGACTGCCGCCCCGGCGCGGATCGCCCCCGCCAGAGATCCCTCGAAAGGGGGAGCTTAGGCGGGGGCTTTTCCCGTAGGCGCCCCCGCTCGCCTGGGAGGGTGCGGGGGGTCTTGGATCGCCCAAGGGGTTCCAGGACGGGCCGACTCGCCCCGGAGGGGGGGTCGGTCCGAGCGGTGGAGTCGCCCGGGGGGGGTTCCGCCGCTCAGTTCCTGCACGAGTCGCCGCGGGGTGGTCTCGCGCGGGAACAGCCCTCGCGAATCGCCCAGGAGGGTTCCACTGGGGCGAGGTAGCCTGGGGGTCGCCGCAGAGGACAGCGCACGGCGCGAAAGATTCATCACGCGAATATTGCGCGGGACTCTCGCGATTTGTTCGCGGGGGACCCAAACTCTCGCGAATTTTTCGCGGGAGGCGCAGCGGTTTGGACAATCGCGCAGAGGGGGGAGCGAAGAATAGAGGAGGGGAGGTCCGATGCCAAAGCCTCGAGGGCCACCTCCGGGGCCAAGCGAATGACGGACAATTGGAGCAGGGAGCGGCTAAGGATAGAGAAGGGAGGCGAAGGATAAGAGCTGGAGGGGAGCGCGAGCGGCGCACCAAGGAGCAGAAGCGGAGAGAAAAGGAGTTCTCCGGTTGATCACACCAAGAAAAAGGCAAGGATGATGACTAAATTAAGGCTCTGACTTTGCACGCGCAAAAACAGGGCTCCCGCTTTATACTTCCTGCAAGCGACGACGCCCCAAAGTTTGGGGGCTTCTGCTGCCCAACAAAAGAATGAATCGACACTGAAAGTGTAATCTCTTCCGATGTTTTTTTGTCGGGAGGCCATTTTCTAGATTCTGGGACCTATTTGGAAGGAAGGCCGACGGCTGCAGCGGGAGCACGATTCGGAACGAGCGGAAGCGCGGAAATGACGCCAACGCTGCAGCGGGAACACGATTCGGAAAGAGCGGAAACCCGAAAATGAGGCCAACGCTTCAGCGGGAGCAGCATCTTGAATACAAACCCAAGCGAACAGAAACCATTTCCCAGGAACCCTGCGCGTGAAAAACAATGTGCGGAGGGGGGCCGGATATCTTCCGGACGCCATCGGGGGAGAGAAGAGTCTTAGCATTCATAGTGTGTACCCATCGGTCGGAAGAAGTCTGTAGAACCGTGAAGTCGGAAAGGTGTTGAAAATAGATTGACTGTCCACCTCCCCCCCTTAAGGAGGACGGAAAAGGTGAAACCACTCGATCATTGAAGTAGGAAGGCGCGTAAACTACATAGGAATCTGGGGATCCAAAAATACCTATGTCCAACGACCGATGGGTAATTGTGAAGGGGGGAAAGGGTGGAGAGGGGGGCGGGCGATCGGCGGACACAAGGCGCGCGCGATCTGTGGAGCGCGTCCTGAGGATCATTCCCCCAGGCCTGACTTCCAGGTCCAAAAACTATTGGACTGTCCCAGGGCCGAGTGTTAGGTCGGGCATGTCCCCGTGCAGGCGGATTCTGGGAGAAAAATGAAGAATACGTCAGCAAAGTTCCAAAAGTGCTCAACAATACTCGAAAAATCGCCCCCAGGCTATTTTTGGACTATCTTTGAGCACTCCTCCAGGCCCGACCTAGGCCCAGAGATGGCACCCGGAGGCAGCAGACCACCAAAAAGCGACGGTCGTCGGTGATTTTTGACACAGCGAGGCAGACGTACGGTAGGTTCGCGCGGCGTCGGCGCGCGCGAAGGTTTTTGTCACCGCGTCGATCGTTCAACCCTTAATCGATCGGGCCCAGAGGCGTCACCGTGTCCATCGGTGCTTCCACGTCGCAGAACTCAACATTGGGCGCCTTCGTCGGCGTCGCCGGAACGCCAATGCCGCATGAACCTACCGTAGAAGATCCTGTGGCGAGACAGCTCCGTCATCAGAACTCCGGCCCATGCGGCGTGCTGAACCTGATCGGGCGATGGCAGGACTGGGCTTATTATTCCCAAGAAACACTTAAGAACACCTCCCCCACCCCCCCACCCCTCATCCGGTGAAAATGCAACGCATCCGGCACCGTGGAAGCGTTACTTCGGCACCGGAAAAGCCCGCAGAGAACACTCGGGGACAAGCTAAGCCTTGCTGAGCCGTGCTAGCTCCCGCTAAGCCCTGCTAAGCAATGATAAGCCAGGCTCGCCCCCTGCTGCGCCCTGCTAAGCCCATGCCAAACCTTGCTAGCCCCAGAGGAACGCTGGTGAGCGCTGCCAAGCCCTGCTATCCCCTGCTGAGCCTTGCTAAGCCCTGGTCGCCCCCTGCTGAACCCTGCTCGCCCCTGCTAAATCAAGCCTTGATAATCCCCGCTGAGCCCTGCTAAACCCATGCCAAGCCTTGCTAGCCCCTGCTAAGCTCTGCTGAGCGCTGAGCGGCGCGCGACGCGCCACGGATTTTGTTTTGGCTTGTGCGAAGTGCTAAACGTCTCGCTCTGCGAGAACGGCCCCTGCGTTCTATTAAATCCTGGTGCGGTGCTAACGATAACCCTGGGGGGGTTCTTACAGGCCTCCTCGGGTTAGGGGGACCTGGTTTAGTGGTCTGTACCCAAGACCCCCCCCGTCCCATTCCACTGACCAGAATTGCCGTCATGAGAAAAACACCAGCTATGGCAAACCTGTTTTCGTGATTCTGGCCAATTTGGGGGCTCCAAAGCCCAACTATTAAGCGGGCCCCCAACAGGGGCAGGCCCGACGTAACACGAACCGGGTCCCCATACCTGGGGTCCTGGCTATACTTAGATCGGGAATGTCCCCCATACAGGCGGATTTTGGGCGATTAGTAGAAAATAACTGAAACATGTTCCAAAATGCTCGGGCGGACGCTGCAATTCGCGCCGGAGCGCAGCCGTTGAAGAGCGCAGCGGGGGCGCCAGAGTGCCGAAGCTCAGAAGTGGAAGTCCTGCAGACAGTTCTGATCCCGCATGATATTTCGGCTTCATTTAATATCTCATTTGCATAAGAAATGCGTTGCTGCCGCGTGCAATTGTCTCGGAGCATCACGTGCCACACGCTAGATCACCAAAACACATCCTAAATCTGTTGTGTAGAAGTGATCGCTTGCATCACACGGAGAAACAAATCGACTTGCTCATTGGATCTCTGGTGCCGCCGTGGAGCTGATCACATAATCTGCGCCAGAAGCTTGAAGATGTAAGTCCCCGAGTTCCTTGTCGAACTGTGTCCTTGTCCTTGTTGTTCGTGTTCCCTATTCATCGGGGCATGCTTGCAACATGTTCCCATAGATTGCCAAACCCGTCGTTTCGAACACGTCTATATGAATGTCATGTCGACACAAGCTCTTTCCCTTCACAATGATATTGAAATTATCCGTCGCGTTTGCGGCGAACGCATTCTTGAGTCGCGACAGCTTCATATACATAAACAAATGTTTTTCATCTCCTAATCCATTTGCTTGCGACCTCGCCGTTACTAGTGTCAGCCATAATTGAAGAACTATCGCAGGATTCTGTCCAGGGCTCGTCAAAAGCCACTCTCCAGAAGTTGTTCGCACAGTTCTGCCGTCTTTTTGGATTGCGACGCCAATGCGTCCATCATGGGGTCCGCATTGCACAATCGTTCCGAAATACTCTATGGGCGATGCGTACCGTTTGGCTGACATCCGATGGCTGTTGCACGTTGCATGTTGGCGCACTTCCTTTGCACATGAGGTGTTCCAGCATTTGTTCGCCACCGCGCCCCAAAAAACATGTCGCACTTCGCCGGATGAGACACCATACTACTGAATAGCATCTGCTGTGTATTAACGACCTCTTGGGCCATCGATTGCATGCTGCCCAATGCCTGCTGTATTCATCCAATGTTTGAGGTTGCTTGTCTGCGTTTGTCTCGAGACCGTGCAGATTGCCATCAATGCTCTGCGCCATTGTGCGACGCTCCCGTCTGCGTTGAGAATCCGATTGAAATTTGCATCTTGATCCCTGCGTGCTGCCGCGGTGTGAAGTGGCTGCCATCTTGCCATTGCTGCCGAGAGCTCGCGCGCCACTCAAGTTGGGGCCTCTGCAAATCCCTCTCTTGATACTGGCTTGAGCCTCGGGGGCCTTGAGCCAAATACTCAAAAAAGGTCTTACAAATCGCCCCCTGCTTTTTTTTTTGACTATTCTCGAATATCCCTCCTGTAGAGGGACAGGCCCGACTTCAGGCTATACCTGAGACAGACCCATGGGGCAGTGACCATTGCGGCGGGCACCTGCTCGCACCGAGGCGGCGGCTCGGGACGGGCGAGCGCGTTGCAGCACCAGTGATGTGTGTCGAGGGGGGGGGGGGGGGGGGAGAAGGTACTCGACTACGCGCAAGAGTGACCCTGGGTAAGAGTGACCTTTGGTGCGCGGTTCATTGGGGGCCGCTGGGGGACCAAACGCGAGCGCGCAGGACGCTAATACAGCATCGCGTTCGGCGATCGGGGGGCCCCCTTGGGCCCGCACCAAAAGGTCACTGCGGCGAAAGGTCACTTTTACGTGGAATCGAAGTATCGATGCCGCTGCGCTCGGGCCGGGTCGAAAGGTGCAACGCCCCTTTGACGCAAATGAGCTGCGGACGTCAAACGATATCGATAAGAACAGATACCACTGATTGTGCACGTGAAGGGAAACACCCCCTCTCGGACGCAGCGGACAGCGGGCCAAAGCCCCACTCCCGCGGCGCCAAGGCCGCGCGTGCCTGCAGGCCTCTCGCCCGCCAGGTCCGTGCACGGCCGACCACTCTCAATGCACATCGTCCGCGCCTCCCGCATCAGTGCGGGACCTCTAGGTCCGTGGAAAAGAAAAGGAAAGAAAAGAAAACTCATGAATCTGCCCGGCGCCACACGCACACCCTAGAGAGTGCGATGGAGCCGGCTGCCCTCGTCGCGCACCTTAAAGCCCATAGCCTCAAAATGCCGTCTCAGATGTGTCTGGTCCAGAGCCTTTGTGAACGCATCGGCCGGGTTCTGGAGCCCCGGCACATGCTTGATCTCCACTTTGCCTGCCTTGACCTGGTCCTGCAGCCACAAGAATCTCGTGTCGATGTGGCGGACAGCGCCAAGGCCCTGCCGCGTGGCGACGCCCTCGGCCGCCACGCTGTCGCTGCGCAGTAGTGGCCTCTCTAGATGCTGCACGCCGAAGTCTTGGAGCATCGACTGAAGCCCCAGAGCGTGGCTCGCACCCTTCAGCATCGCATAGTACTCGGACTCCCCCGAAGACAGCGCGACCGTGGTCTGCTGAGTGGAAGCGTGCTTCACAAGATGGGAGCCGAGCATGAGCATCATGCCACTGCGTGATTTCCTGGTGGTAGCCTCGCCAGCCCAGTCAGCGTCTACAAAGATCTCGATGCGCGTGGGGGCCTCCTGCAGCTTGAACACCAGCGAGCCGGCCCTGGCCTGCTTGAGGTATCGCCCCAGGCGCTTCAGGTCCATCATGTCCGACTCGCGTGGCGTCTTCATCGACTTGGCCAGAGAAGACGCTATGTAGCTGAGGTCCGGCCTGTCCTGCCCGATGTAGCTCGCACGCATGACCAGCGAGCGGTAGAGCTTGGACTGTGCGTCATCGAGCGTCTGGGACTGCGAGGCTTCTATCATCTCGGTCACACTCTTCTTGACCGCAGGCGTCTGCACCGGCTTGGCGTCGCACAGGTGCAGGTCTCGAAGGATCATGTCAACGTGGCGGACGTCAGACTCGATGCGTGCTTCACCTGCGGCGGGATCCCAGATGAGCACGCGGTTCAGGTAGACCGTGCTCTGGACCCCTTCGGCCGCCGAGGAGAGGCGGCCCGTGACCTTGTAGTCATACTTCTTCAACAACTCGTCGAACCTGGCCTCGTCGTCTGCATACATCAGCACGCCGAAGTCGTCACCATGCACCTCGAGGGCGATGTCACGCCCTGGGTGCCACAGGATGGCGGGGCTCGACTTCCCCTGCAGGAACTCGACGGACTTGAGCAGCTCGACGTAGTCACCCTGCCAGACCTGGCTCGCATCCATCGTGCCGTACATCGTGCGAAGGAGAAGTCCGACGAGTGGCTCCTCCTCGCCCTGACGCTCCTCGGGCGGAAGCTCCACCCAGAGGCGCCTCTGCGCGTGCCCGTAGAAGTGGGCACGCGACACGTCGTAGAACTTGTACAGCACCTCTCGGGGCTCCGAGCTCTGGAACTGCTCGAACGCCCTGCTGAGGAAGAGGCTGACCAGCGCCTTGAACGCCTCCAGCGGTGGCGTCCCCGAGAAGAGGTCCTGCTGCGGCGGCAGCAGCCCCTCGGCGCGCCGGCGGACCTTCATCTCCCGTGCCACGAGCCTCGAGCGGTACAGCGGTCGCTCGAGGTCCCCCTTGTTGGTGTCAATCCACCGTGTGTCGAGGGCACGACCTCCTTCCGCCTCCATCTCGCGGCGTGGAACCTTCTTCCACACTCCGCGGCTACGGCACCACTCCAGCTCCTCAGCCCTGGCCTCCTTCACCTTCAGCGGGTCGAGGAAGCCCCCGCGGACGTCGTCCACGAGCGCCTCCGCCTCCTGGCCCATATCCTCGGCGTGAGGCGAGGCCCCGGCGGTGAAGCCCGCCAGGTCAGACAGCGATTCTCGAGCTCGAAGTTCCTCCCTGAGGCCGCGAAGGATGGCTCTGACCAGGCGGGGTGGGTACACCTGCGCCTTTCGAGCCCTCCTGTCACCGAGCAAGTGCACGTGCCGGTAGGGTTCGCCGCCGATGGACTGGCAGCGGCACTCCCCAGCAAGGATGTCGGCCAAGACCTGCGAGTTCGTCGGCCAGCCCGTCTCCTTGCGCACGAATGCCTCGCGCCCATCGGGCCCCCGAGCGTGGAGGCCCCAGCGGCACATCGGGCCGCGCACCAAGTGCACGCCCGGCAACTCCTTGACCCTCTGGACGCACGGCCGCGACCAGGAGGATGCGCCCCAGGGGTGCTCATGCAGGAAAAGTGCTCCTCGCTGATGCCTGCTCTCGCACACCTTCATGGAGAACTCCAGGTGTGTCTCGCCCTCGAGGACCTCGGAAGCCACGATGCCCTCGTCCCGCTTGAAGTTGCTGAGCTGCCTGAGCTTGGAGAAGACCGTGCACGGCGGAGAGGTCACGGTGAGGAGAGGGTCATCCTCCAGCAGCTTCTTCATGACTGCTCGGCGGTGGTCCTCTCGAAGCAAGTCCCAGCCGGTGTGGAGGTCCGCCGCGAGGCCTGCCGTCAGGCCCATGCCGAGCGCCTTCCCCTTGAAGCGCTCGGGCGAGTAGATCTCTGCGAGGTCGACCCCGTTGATCTCGGTCAACAGCGCGGACGCCTCCTTCAGCTCCTTGATCGACATGGCGTTGTCGCCGATCAGGTCCGTGGCGCTCACCAGCGCCAGGATCTCCCTGTAGATCTTGCCCTTGACCTCGTCAAAGGCGCCGACGTCCATGGAGCTGCCAGCCCGTGCAGCTGGCCCTGCCAAGTCCTCCATGTCGCCACCTCCTCTAGCCCCCTCTGGGCTAGGCGCGGGCTGCACCAGCCCGGCGGACACTGCCGCGCTCGCCGGTCCAGCCGACGAGCTCGAGCCTCCGTCCACGATCATCTGCCCGTGGAGGTCCGGCTCGCTCCCGGCTCTCTTGAGCCCCCTTGGCCCGTCTCGCAACTGCGGCGGGCGGCGCTCCTCGGCGGACGCGCTCGCAGCACGCTTCCTCGATGCTGCCGGTGGCGTCGCCGGGGCGCCCGCACGTGGACCTGCCATGGCCACGTCCGCGCCGGGTCCTGCCGCGGCGCCTCCCCCGCCGCTGGCCGCGGCGGCTCCTCCGCCGCTGGCTGCGGCTGCTCCAGGCTGGGGCGCCGGCTGCGCCGCGCTCTCCTCCGCCTGAGCCTCGCGAGCACTCGCCCTCAGGTGGTGCTCCGCCAGTCTCCGCTGGCCTGCCGAGTCCTTCATCAGCTCGGCCTCGATGCGATCGCGGCACTCTTGGGAGTGCGCGACCCGCGCCGACCCCCTTGCCATGAGGTCCGCGCAGCCTGGACACCCCGGAGTAGCTCCGAAGCGTTCGATGTCCTTCTTGAGTACGTAGCGCCTCCTGACCACGGTGTCGTGGTCCTCCTGCGTGTCTCTGGCCACGGTGATCGGGCCCACGGGCTGCGCGAGCAACACCGCGGGGGAAACCTCCCACGGCAGTCCAGCAAGCCTGCCCCACGACCCTGGTGCCTCCGGCGACCACGCCTGGGCTCGATGCAGGCGCTTGAAGCCCTGGGCCCGCACCACACCCGACTGCGTCATGACGAGCAGCGCGCCTGTCCGCGAGTGGTAGCCCACGAAGTGCCCCATGAGCATCTTGGGGGCCAGCGTGCTCCTCTCGTCTCCGACTCCGAGAGGTCGATAGTGCACCCTCTCGCCGAACTCCGCCGCGAACTTCCTCCAGGGGCGGCCACGCCTCCGCTGCTCGGCCGACACGCCGTCAACGCCGAGCCTGAACTTGGAGATGGAGTCCGCGGCAAACTGGGGCAGCCACCTGACGATGGGATGCCCGGGCGCGATCTCGAAGCCGAAGGACTTCTGCATGGAGAAGAAGTTCGCTCGGATGACCTTCTTCACCTCCTTCGCGCTGGCTTCGACCTCGCCGTTGCTCTTGTGCTCGCCCTTGGGCGACTCCTGCGGGATGCGCTCGACATGCTGGCCCACACCAACCATCACTGCATTCTTGATGGCACAGATGCTCGCCTCGCCGTCGGACTTGAGCACGACGCGGCGGTGCCCGAGGTGCTTCAAGAAGCCCACGAGCCACTTGACCACGAAGTCGGACGCGGTCTTGTCCTTGACGGCGGTCGCCCCCTTCATGCCGTACTTGCGGTCCGTCACCGCTAAGATGGGGATGGAGCCGTCGTCCTCCACGTCCTGGACCTTCTCTCTCCCCGATGAAGGCGAAGTCCATGCTGACGACCGGGTCGGCGTCATCACGATCCTCAGGTCGCCTGGCGTGCGGGGCGCCCAGGCCGGCTGCCCGCACGCACTCCTCGCACCACGAGCGGTAGACCGCGTGTCCGGATGCCAAGTGCCGCTCCCGCTCTGCCTGCGTCGGCGCCCTGCCACGGCGCGCGACTCGAGCGGGTGCCACCTCCGGCGCCTGCTGCTCCTCCTCCTGGCCCACGTCTAAGTCAGTGAGCGGCGCTGGGCCCGGGCTCCCAGCAACAGCGCCGCCTCCTCCGGGCCTTGCGGCCAGGCCTGCCGGGGAGGGACTGGCGACCCGCCGTCGACCGGGCACAAGTCCCAGCTCTCGCGGTGGTCGCCGAACGAGACTCTCCTGACGTGGCCTCCCTCGTTCTTCTTGATGTAGCCTGCGTAGATGCCCTTCTCAACGTACAGAGGCACCACGCCCGACTCACTCCACACAGCATCACGAATGAGAGCGTCGACGCGGTTCACGATGTCCGAGCCGGCCGGGAGGATGTAGCCACCCTCCTTCGTCAGCCAGGTGGCCCGACCCGTGCGGTGAGTCTGCGAGGCCGAGACCAGCGGCTTGTGGATGCTGGCCAAGCGCGCCTTCAGTCTGATCGGCTCGCTCCACTCGGATCGCCCTTGGATGCATACCCCGCCTGAGTCGGCTATGATCTCACCGCTGGCCGTCCGATAGCTCGCATTCGGATCGGCCGGGAGCCGCTCGCCCTTGGTGTTCTCAGGGAAGGTGGTCACGGCCGCTCCCGAGTCGAACGTGAACCTGATCCACTCCTGGTCGTCGACGGTCTCGTCGAAGCTGTTGAGCTCGAACGTGCACAGCTCGAAGGAGCCAAGGTTCGTGGAACCCACCTGGCTCGCTGAGGGCGGAAGGCTGGTGATCGTGCTGTTGTTGCCGTCGTCCCAGTTGTCTCCGTACACCGGCTGGCTCGAGCTTGACGCGGCACCGGGCTCGAAGGAGTTGGTGTCCCAGCGGCGGTTCTTGCCCTTGGACTTGTCCTTGTCTGCGTCCTTGCCCTTGCCTTTGCCTTTGCTGCCATTGCCGTCGCCGGTCTTCCCGCCAGGCAGGCGGACTGTGCACTCATTCGACGTGCGGCCCCAGCCACCGCAACGCCAGCACTGCACCGTCCGCTTGTCACGCGGCTTGGGAGTCTGGCCCTTCTTGCCGTTCTTGTCACCCTTACCTTTGGACTTGCCCTTGCCTCCTTTGTACAGCGAGTCAACGTCCATTGGGTCACCTCGCTTCCGTCGGAGTAGGGCACCTTGCGACTGTCTCGACTCCAGGAAGCTCCTGATCTCCTCTACGACCTTCTCCGACGTGTCTAACCGGTGCTTGTTCATCGCGAGGTGGAGTTCGAGCTCTTCTGGCACCATGGTCTCCAGGGCTGCAACCTTCACGTCGTCGTCAACCACCTTGCCCAGGCCATCTGCCTTCTTCCTCTCGTAACGGCGGATGAGCTCCTCCCATTCCTCGAGCTTCGCATACAGGTCACTGAGGGTGCACCGCTGCGGGTTCATGATCTGCTTCAAGAGAACGCGGCGCTTACCCCCTGAAGCTGGGTCCCAGCGCCGGATGAGCTTCCTCATCGCCTCAGCGCCGTTACCCTTGGGAGTGTTCATCACCAGGGCAAAGCTCTCACCCTCTGTCAGCGTCTGGAGGGCGACGTACAGCTGGCTGACCTTCTCGCGGAGGTCCGGAATGAACTCATCTTCGTCATCGTCGTCGCTGCCGAACCGCGCCTCCAGAACTTCCATGCTGATCACCGTGGTCTCCTGCGCCTGATCCTCCACCCACTCTAGCAGCTTGCGGAACTGCTCTCCGAAGACTGCCGTCAGGTACGCATTGGTCTTGCGGGACCACTCCAGGAACTTGGCTTCCTCATTCTTGAAGATGGAGGGCTTGCCCAACCCCTTGGTGTCTACAAGGGAAAAGGCCGGCGCAGACGACTTATCCTTGCGTTCGTCAGACAGCTTCTGCACAGCGTCGCCGAGCTGCTCGGCCAACCGTGGTAGATCTCCCTGCGCCTGGACCTGCCGAGCGAGCTCCGTCCTGATCTGAACGTTCTGCTGCTGCATCTGCTCTGCTTGCTGGGACAGCTGGGCGTTCTGGATCCTCAGCGCCTCCACAGCCGACTGCAGGCTGGCCAGGGCCTGCCTCTCTTGCTCGTTCATCGCAGCTGCCTGCTCTTGACGTACTTGAGGTACTCGCCGAGCACTGACCAGAAACCCTTGAGGTACTTCTGCTTCAGCACCTTCGCCACCACGTGGCGCCACCTGCTCTGCACTCTCCCGTCGGTCTGCTTGACCGGAGTCTCTGCCTCGTCTGGCACCCACAGCCACACGCCACCAGCAGCCCCGCTATCGCCGCTCGACGCCGTGGCTGGAGTGTGCAGGGCGGGCCGCGCGGGAGCGCGGCCGGGGCTGGTGCGCGCGAGCGCCGGCTAGACCGACGCTCCGCTACCATGCAACGCTCCTTTGACACAAATGAGCTGCGGACGTCAAACGATATCGATAAGAACAGATACCACTGATTGTGCACGTGAAGGGAAACAAAAGGGGGGATAGCAAAAGCGGGGTTTGAGAATCAGCTCGCGTAGCTGATTATCCCGGCGCCTCCTGGCGCCGGGAGGCGCCCATGTATCAAGGAATGGGCCCCGCGGCGGGGCCGAAACCAGCTGCATGCAGCAGATTTCGTAACCCCCCTTTTTTCCTATCCCCCCCTGGCATTCGGCCCGCTACGTGCATCCTTCCGAGGCCGCTCTAACAGCAATGTTGGTCAATGGCGATGTTGGAATATGATTGTTGTGCAGCCGAGCTCACGCAGAACAAATGGTAGGAAATCACGACACACAGGATACGACATTTCATATGTGCGAATGTATCGAGCGAAAACGACGCAGGGAACTGTAGGAAAGCACGAACCACCATGTCCTACAATTGGTTTGGCCACGAACCAATCCCACCTACAATGCCGAAACCTACATCGCCGTCACCTACACTGCCGTTCGCTCTACGGTCCTTTTCGCCTTTTTGGGTCTCCTGGGAAGCCCTCGTCACAACGATTGTATTCGCCTCGGAATTCTGGTCAGAGCGCACCGCGAAATAGGTCTGGGGAGAAGCAGTATCGTTACTTGTTGTTCCCGCAGTGAGCTGGGTTTCCTTCTGAACTTACGCTGGTCCTGGAATCCTTCCTGTCGTTCTCCCATCCACCCTCATCCTCTTCAACTCTGCTCCTCTGTCCGCAAAACTGATCGCACTTCCCACCTCTGTCTCCAAATCATCCTCATTCCCGTCGCTGCCGTCGTCCTCCAACTCTAACCCTCCTTTTCTTTCTCCCAGTCCTCCTCATGCTCCTGCTCCCCTTCAGCATCATCCTGCTCCTGCTCCTCTGACGCTGCCACTGCTCTTCCGAAACATCTGCCGTACTCCTGATCCTACCCTCCTCCTGCACTTCATCTGTATTGGCACCACGATCACATTCTGCCGTGGTGAGATAAAAACTGGTTGCGAGCGTGGGCGACGATCAGCTCCAACCATGATGAGTCTGGTGCACGGTACTGTCCCTCAGCACATCCCATGTGCGCTCCCTGCACTGCCCCTCGGGTGCACACCCGCGGGGGGAAGAGACAGAAGCTGGCGGAAAACGCGCATCCCTTCCAGTGCCCCATGCAATCCCGTCTCGCCCCCCAGCTCCAGCCCAGCCGAGCCCCAAAACCTCGTCCAACTTGATGGTCTCTCCCATGGCGGTGCCCCCCTTCTGCAGCAGCCTCCCCAAGCGCCCGGAGAGCACGATGCCTGAAGCCGGGTGGCAGGAGGGGTGGATCTCTCCAGATAGCCGAAACGTGGTTTGCAAGCCACTTTCTCCCTCTGCTCTTCTCCCACGGCTGCCTCTGATTGGGGTACGCGCTGCAATTGATCAGGGATGCGTGCATCTTCAGACCAGGAAGATGCCCCCCGGAACTTGAGGCCAGGGCCGCCTCACTTGGCGACGGAGCGTGTCGATGTCGCTTGGGAGCGGGACCCGTTGTGAATCCACGGGCCTTGCTCCATTTGTGTTCGCTTCCTCGACTGATGGCCCCCCGATCACTCCCAAGTGACCCCCTGTCCCCGGGAGGCCTCGAAATACACACCCACATATCCTTTAGTCCAGATGCCACTAGGTGGTACCCACAAGTCAACTCGGCCAGCTTGGGGCTAGATCCAAGCACAGGCGCCTGCTTTCTCTTGTCTCTGGGTGAAGGCGGTCGCGTCGTGTTCCTCATTTTCCAGAAATCGGCAACTGGTTGTGCGGCAGCATGCTGTACGTCAGCCTATGGCTACAAATAGAAAGCATGAGTACGGTATTAAACATACGAGATGAACCGAAACTGCGTGCTTCACCATGTTCGTTCTATGACTGAGGTCTCATGCCCAGTGGGCCCCTCACCTATAACTCCACCATCGAAGTCCGCTGTCGCGATATGTGTGACACATCCTCCGTGCGAGGATGCCCACACAAGCGTTAAGTCGGGCCTGTCTTCCTACAGGGAGATGTTGAACGAAAAATCAAGAATAGTTAAAACGAAACACGAAATGGTCAAACAAATGCTCCAACCAGTGTCCCCATATTATGTGTTAACTATTTTTGAATGCTCCCCCTGTAGAGGGTCACGTCCGACTTACAACTCGACCCAAAACTCACTTCCTGGAACAACGATCTCACGTGCGCGCATGGGTCGCATCCGTGAGGTAAGAGATCGCCAGGGAGAGCAACTTCTAACGACCCGACGTCCTGACACGGGGTATACAGGTCGCATCCCAAAGATCGGAGACGAAGATGCAATACTGGGCATGCCGATTGCATCATAACACAATGGGAGGGGTGCGTTCTCTTCGGTCCGAGGATGGCGGGGGACACGATTAAAAAAACGAGCAAGCATGAGCGAGACATAAACGGCAGCACTCACTCAACTGAAGCTGAACGTGCCGCTGGAAGCACAGCACCAACTTGTGCCCATTAATGTCCTAGAGAGTATCCAGAGATATCCGCCTTGATGCCCCCGCGGTGTCCCCTCGGGTCCGGCGCAGGTTGTCGCCAAAAAATTCCAGGCTCAAGCTGCAAGTGAAACGATGGGCAACCATAGGGAAGCACCAACTCAGGGGGGAAACGTCGACCCGGAACCGAAACCAAAAACAACAAGACACACAGACACATATCGAATGCTAAAGAAACAAAACAAATGCGGAATCCGACTGCCAGTCTACTCGAAATGACAGAAAGCATGCGAATGGAAATGCACATCACAATTAATATCGCCATGAACACCCAACTACAATACACGTGCAATTCGGAACACACATCGAACTGCACATCAAATCTCATCAGCCCTTCACAATCTCTTATTCATATACACCCCCTCCCCCACCCGGCCGACGTCCAACCAGGAACCATGCCGATACCATGAGGGCCCGCCCCCCACCATCCCTGTCAAACAAAAACAAAACAAACCGCACTCTGCCTCCACATTTGGAGCATGCGCGGCCAAACCGATGCGCCCCCCCCCCCCCTACACCATCCCTGTCACAAAAACAGTTCAGAATACACTTTGGGGCAAAGTCTTGAGTCATGTTCGTGAGGCCCGCGAACACTTTGTATTGTTTTTGACAAAGACGGCCGGGGTGCGAGCATATTCCCTGCCGTGCACAGGGCTACCATCCCTGACAAAAAAACGAACAACATGCGCCTCGCGGCTAAATCTGGATCATGCGCGGTCATCCCGCGATCACTGTCAAATGGTTTTTGACAGGGACGGCGGGGGTGGCGGCACGAGGTCATCTGTGCGCCGGCCCACCAGACATACTGATGGGCATGGGTTTTCGACAAGGATGGCTGGGGCCGACATGGTTCCCGATGTGTGCTGTCACGTGCGCAGGCGCACCTGACGCACTCTGCACGTGCCCCGAACATGGCGCACCTGGCGCGGCTGGAGTGTGCGGCACACCTGGCGCACTCGGAGCACGTGGCGCATATGGCGCACCAGGCGTGCCTGGCACGCTCGGGCCCCAGGGGTGTCTGGCGCGCGTGGCGCCCCTGGCACGAGTGGCGCACCTCGCCCAAGCGTCGCGCACCTGGGGTCGGCTTTGGTTCCGAGTAGCTGCCCATCCAAAGACGATCGCTGAACATGCTCAGGCTCGGGTGTTAGTTATATGTTGGGAGGGCGGGTGGCCCCTGGCGCGGTCCGATTTGGGCATGAATTGAACCGGATTTGGGCTGAACTCGCCCCTTCACAAGAGAGACGAGAAGAACACGAGGAGGGGGAGGACGAACAAGAAGGGCGCGGAGGAGCAGGAGGAAGGGCCAAATGTGGTCCAACTGGTCGGCAAAGCTGATTTCAATGTCGCCGACCAAGGCTCACACGAATAGAAGAAGAAACACCACGTAAACATACACTTTTGGCGCTCCGCGCGGGTTTCTTGGATCCGCGCCAGACACCCCTCCCTGGCGCGCGGAGCGCGCCAGGGGCGGCGCCAGAGGCGCCGACAGGGGGCTCCCAGCGCGGATCCGAGAAATCCGCGCGGAGCGCCAAAAGTTTATGTCTATGTGTCTGTTTTGTTCTTCTTCGATGATTTCAATGTCGCCGACCAAGCCTCATACGAAGAGACCCCGAGTCCTCATGATTCTCATCATCGTCCTCGTTGCACGGGCGGCGAGCTATGGGCGTGTTTTCCATCACCACCACCATAAGTTGGAGGGGGGGTCCTCCTCCTCCTCCTCCTCCTCCTCCTCGTCCTCCTCCTCCTCGCCCTCCTCCTCCTTCCCCCCTCCAACTTCTGGTGGTGGTGATGGTGGAAAACAGGCTCATCAGCGAGGGGCGGGCGCGGCCCATCCAGCTGCCCTCGTCCCGCTGCTTCCACACCGTCTCGCCGGCGCGCAGGCTGACGGGCACCAGCGCGTCCACCACCGCCAGGCGGAGCGTCTGAGGGCCCAGCGCAAGACGGCGGCTGGAGATGGGCACGGACCGACCGTCCCAGCATTCCTATAGGCCTACCACGACATCATGTTCTCAGAACCCAAAAATGTCCTAGAACATAAGCCCCATGCGTTAAAACAAGACAGTCCCAGCGAGAAATGTTCTAAGAACATTCCGTGGAAACCACAGAAGATTCTTAGAACCTTCTTTGGTTGTCCTATAGGCACGCCAGGACTCTCCGCCAGTGCTTGATGGAGGACAGCCATGCTTAGAGCAGTCAGAGAAGGCATAAACATAAACTTTCGGAGGAGGAGGCGCCGGCGTTTCGGCATTGAGCGGAGGGGGGGAGAAGGGATAGGCGTCTGGCTCCGGACCTTTGCTGAATGCGACTGTTTGCAACAGATCGTGCTATGGGGGAGGCTCCACCTGCTTGAAACAGGCGCCAAAAACAGCCAGGATCTACTCCATGGGGGGGGGTAGGGGGTGCGAGGGCCCGCGCCGACCGGAGAAACTAATCACCACGAAGAAAACCGATACAAACATACAACAGAAGCACAAACTCTCGTACCTCCGCGCGAATTGCTTGGATCGGCGCCGGAACCCCCTGGCAGCTCTTCCGTCGCCGCCCCCGGCGCGTTCCGCTGGCCGACGGGGAGAGGGGTCAAGCGCAGATGGGGAAAAACTGTGGGGACATCGCGGGCATCCGAAAATTTACGTTTGTGCAGCACGTGCTCTTCGCTTGTTGTGCAATCATTCTGCTGCTGCTGCTGCTGCTGCTCCTCCTCGCTCCCTCCGTCCCCTCTGCTTCCTTATGCACGCCGTCCTGCTCCTCCTGTTGCTCCTCCTGCTTGCTTTCGGGGGGCGCGGCCATACTGCTGCTGTGACGGGGCCTACTCGGGGACTTACGTCATCGCAAAATTTCAAAGACATGTGAGAACAGCTGTTTATCCCCCCCCGCCGTGGCTCGAGACGTCTTTCATGCACCGCCCGTCGACAGACTGGCTACCCCCCACGCGGGCGACGACGCAGAGAGCATGCGTGACAGGGTGGAAGGGTGGAGGGGAAACCACAGAACCACAGCAGTGGGAACAGGGAAAGGGGAAACCAACACCACCAGGGCGAGGAGATGCGAGGAGCAAATGGGGGTCTCCCTGGTGGTGTCCCCCCCCTCTCGCTTCGAGACATCCCCAGCCTCCAGCTCGGGGAGGCATCGTGGACCTCCTCGCTGGAGGTGGCCCCCTCTGATGGTGTTGGTGTCGCATCTCCTCCCTCCGTGCATGCTGGATGGCAGCTCGGCCAGGAGGGCGGGCGGGAGGCAGGAAGGGAGGATGAGCGATACGGGAGGAGTGAGCATCGCTTGGCCAATCCCCATCCGCAAGGGCGTGGCCTGGGCCCCATTGGCCGATTTACCCCCCTGAATGGGGATATGGGCTGTTCCCTTCGAGTTCCGAAGGGCATATCCACAACTAGAGCGTGGTGGGATGATGCGGACCTGGACGAGGATGGAGAAAGGGACAGGAGGAGAAGGAGGAGGAGGAGGAGGAGGAGGAGGAGCAGGAGGTCGGTGAAACGATGCTGATAGGACGAAGGCTCGGGCTGCAGTCTGGAGCTCAGCATGGGGGGAACGGGTCCTGAGGGAAACGGATCATGGACGCCTTGACCGTAATTGGGTCGGGCATGCCCTCCTACAGGGGGATTCTGGACGAAAAACCAAAATACTCCCAAAGTGCCCATAAACTTGTCGAGCATACTCAAAGAATCGTCCCCATATCATGTTTCGACTATTTTTTGAACTTTCCCCCTGTAAAGTGGCAAAACCGGCTTAAGAATACGGCGTACACAGAAACTGTTGGCGTTCCGCGGGGGTTTCCTGGATCTGCGCTGGACCCCCCTTCCCTGGCGCGCGGAGCGCGCCAAGGGCGGCGCTGGGGGCGGCGCGGCGCCAAAGGGGGGCCCAGCGCGGATCCCCCAAAACCGCGCGGAGCGCCGCAAATTTACATTCATTCCATATTCTTTTAATGGATTGAACGCGCTCGCTGGCGTCGACGGCGCAGAAACGCCGTATGAACCTACCGTAGACAAGCGCGCTCCACAACTCGCAAGGTAACTGCCCGCAGACGGCCTGGCTGCGCCACGGGGGAGTTACGATGCATTGCGCCGCGGCAAGCGTGTGTTTGTGTTTTTGGAGTTCACGTGTGAATACTTCGCGAGTAGTGGAACGCGCTCGGTGACACCAATGCAGCAAACAAAATCACGACGGGACGCTTGAGGCAATCCTCTGCCCTCGGGGGCCCTCACATGGACCAGGGACGGAACAAAAACAACGACTCGGGATGGCCATTCGTGCCATGGAGTCGAAGCATCGGGATCCACGCTGTGAACAAACCGCGGTGCCGAAGGCCTGGAAGAGAGCTGGAGGAGTGAAGACGAGGAAGATGAGCATGAGGAGGGCGAACGGATAGAGGCAAGGGCAGGAGGAGGAGGAGGAGGAGGAGGAGGAGGAGGAGGAGCAGAAGGAGGACTATATGACTATAGGGCGTGCGACAACGAACGTCGAGACTGTGAAACTACTGGCGCAGATCCTCGAGACTGGTTTCTGACAAAATCTTGGGCGGGCCTTTCGCACATGGGTGGAGGCCGCGAGCGCTCCGCGCCAGATTATGTTTCCCCATCGGAGGTGGGTGCAACGCAAAGCTTAACAAAAATGTCTGGTATCCGCGGTCACAGACATCCAGTATTTACCGCAAAAGCGAATTTGCATCTCCCCAGTAATGTAAGGCGTGGGACTCGTTTTAGGTCGAGCCTGTCCCCTTTACAAGAGGATTTTGGATGACAAACTCAGGGAAAATATCCCAGACATGTTCAAACATAGTCAAACATATCCCCGAACAATTTGTTCTACTATGGTTGGATATTCCTCCTGTAGAGGGACACGTCCAACTTAAGACTCGTTTTAAACTTGCCCTCCCAAAGCCCGCCTTCCATTCAGGGGCGCGATTCCTGGGGGCGGGGCGACGCGGGCGCGCGCCGTCGGGGCCGCCCCAAGGAAACCTGGAGCGCCCACGAGAACCATGCAGTTCCCGCAATAGAATTTCAAGCCGAGCCCACGCCAATCCCGCTGGGATTAGGTCGGACCTGTCCCCCTACAGACGCGTGCTGCGCGATTGTTGATTTTGCAACCTAAACTTTTTAAGCAAATGCTACAAAAATGCCCAGACGTCGTCCCCATATTATTTATTGACCATTTTGGAATATTTCCCCTGTAGAGGGACAGGCGCGACTTCATGTTGGGAGGCTCTCTTGGCCTGCCCACGCCCCGAGATCCGCGCGGGGCGGCTGGCCGAGTGTCGGGCTTCGGACCGGGGGCCAGCGCGAATGGTCTCCGCCGGGGCCCTCCTCGCACGCATTCGGATCAGACGCGCCTCGGTGTCCGCCACGTCTGTGGCGAGGGCTCCCTGGGCGAAGTCAGACCACAGCCGGCGGGCGCGCCCCACGAAGCGAGCGCGTCGGCGCACGCGCGTTGCCCGCCGCCCACCACGAGCCCCGAGGCTAGCAGATGTCCTCGGCCTCGCGGCGGGAGGGGGCCCAGTCGACAAGAACAGGGTCGGGGCCGCGACGGCGATTCGTTCATTCCTGAACAAGGGGTCGGCATGTCCACTACTGAACCGTCGACGGCGCCTCTCACCAGCAGAGCGGAACCGCCTGGCCGCGAGCTGCCAGGCCTTGGCGACCCCAGCCGTCAGCCGCTCGCGCGCCGCAGCCGCGCGCGAGGCCAGCCTCCTCAGCCTGGCGACCTCGCAATGGGCCAGGCCCTGCACCTGGTGGCCGTGGACTTGGTGACCTCCTTGAGCATCGCCATCTCCCTCGGCCCCTTCATGGCGCTGGCCCTCATGGCAGCTCTCTGCGTCTTCTGTCTGCCTCTGCGCCTCGCGCGCGCGCAGCCCGCGTGGCAGTCCGCCCCGGGGTCGGTGAAGCTGCCCTGTGCTTTTGCTGGAAATCTTCGCTGCTGAAATCCCATGGCGATGGAGACGGCCAGCCTCGGGGCGCTCGCAACCGCCGTGGTCTCGGGGGGGGGCTGCGAGCCCCGCGGCCTGGAGGCAATCTCCCAGCCTCGCACAGCTCTGCGCCAGCTGCATCTCCACGTTGGCCCCCGCGCCCTGCGCGCGCAGGACGGCGTCGTCCGCGAGAGTCCACAGGCTGATGTCAGCCTGCTCCGTGAGGTGCGCGCAATGGAGGACTGGGCCCATGATGGCCTCGTCGGGTCGCGCACCCTCTGGGCCCCCCCTGCCGACCACTGCATTTCCCTCAGCTGTCCTGGGGCCAGGAGCGCCTGCGGCTCCACGCAGAGCGCGATGGGCGGGAAGCCCCGCCCTGGCGCGTGCTGGACCAGCCTCGGGATGCCGATGTCGCCGAGGAACTTTGCCAAGTCTAGCAGCCGCGGTCGCCGAGGAAACGCCGAGCTCCTCGGCGGTTTCGTCGAGCGTGGCTCGGGGGGGCGAAGCATGCAACGTCGGCGGCCCTCGTACGTCCGCGTTGCAGAACTCGCCCAGGGCCTCGCCCCACTCGCTGGCGACCCCAATTATGAGCTTGCCCCGCGTCTTCATGATGAAGGGGAGCTGACCCTGCACCCTGTCGCCTCCGCCCTTGTCCTTAGGGGCGATGGCGCCGAAGGTGGCCCGCGTCTGCCTCGGCCATCCCTTGGCGGGCAGACTCTGGGTCTCTGCGGGCCCCAAGTCGCCGATGCCCTCGGCCTTGGAAGCGCTGAGGGCCGGGGGCAGGCGGCCTAGCTGCCTCGGCGCGAGCGGGGCGAAAGGCTCCTGCCACGCGAGGCCCATCGCCGTGTGGATGCCCTCCTGGAGCTGCTCCTGGGCGACGTTGTTGTCGGCCCACTGCCACTCCCACACGTCGGCTCTGCTGCTCCTGGGCTGGTCGGGGGCCGCCACGGCGCGCCCGCCCCGCGCCTTCTCGGTGGTCTCTGGCCTGGACACATTGGCCATGTCGTGGAGCTGCGGGCCCAATTCTGGAACGCCTTCCTTGAATTGCGAGCGACATGGCGGCGGCCCTCAACTGGTAGCGCTCCGCGATCAGGATGGTGGGAGCCACGTCGTCGTCTGGGAGATCCTGCAGCTTGAATATCGCATCCTTCACGCGGGCGAAGTCGTGTGCCTCATCCTTGGCGAAGACCAGGTGCAGCTGGGTGTCCTCGGCCTTCTGCGCCAGCTTGGCGATCTTGCCGCCGCAGCTCTCCGTGTCGTGGGCGCTCCCAATGCACCGTCGCATCTCGTGCCTCTTGAGCAGAATCGCCGCGATGTGCCACCAATCAGAGAGCTGGTCGCGCACGTGCGCCGTCGCCCGTGTCGCCGCGGACCTCATCCACTTGTTAACGTGGCCGTTGCCTCTGCCTGTGTCGGCCACTTTGTCCTCTGCTGCACCTCGTGGTGCTCCAGCATGGCCAGCTCCAGCGCCGTGACACTCTCTTCGCGTAGTGCCTGCCGACACGTTTCTGGCCTTGCGGGTCCCTCGTGAGCAGTAAGTGCTCTTCTTGATGCATGGCGCCCTCTGCGGCCTCTGCCCAGTGCGGGCAGTGGGCGGGGCCCTGGACGGCATTATCCGTCGTCCCCCCACTGGCGGCAGCGCTCCTCCACATCCAGGCCCTGCTGTTTCCGCCGCGCTCTGGAGTGGCTGTCCCTGCGGGCCGAGCCCGCGGGGACAACGACGGGTCCACCTCCCCCGCAGGCTGCTTCGCCGAGGGCGGTTCGCGTCTGCGGTCCTGTGCCTGGTGTTGGCCGCCCGAACGGGCGGGGCACGCGGTGGACGGCCTCTGCCAGGGGGTCTCTCCTGGGGCCAGGCTTTTCGTCGCTACTGTGTTGCGCACGCCTCTGCCCACAACTCAGTTGGGATGTGGAAGGCGGTCGTTGGCGTGGGAGCGTCCTAGAGGCCCTCCTGTAGCCTCGCGCGTCTCCTCTCTCGGGCCTTCAGCAAAACCGTCTGCCGCTTGCTGTTGGGGTCCGCCGTTTTCTTGGGCCTCGGGACTTTTGGGAGCTTTTGCGAGATGTCGGGGAGGAGGAGGAGGAGGAGGAGGAGGAGGAGGAGGAGGAGGAGGAGGAGGCGGAGGACGAGGGGGAGGAGGACGAGGGGGAGGAGGAGGAGGAGCTGGAGGGGAAGGGCGACGACGTGCCAAGTTCCGAAAAAGAGAGAGAGAGAGAGAGAGAGAGAGAGAAAGAGAGAAATATAGAGATACGAGGGCAGGCCGCACAGGAGCTGCCTCCGGAGCCCGGGCGAACAGCGGCACCTGCCGGTGGCGGCGGCGCGGAGGCGCGGGGGCAGCTCGGGATCACGAGGCAGGCACGGAGGAAAGAGCGGCGGCGAGCGAGGGGAGAAGTGAGAACGGGCGGGCCTTCTCAGATAGGGGAGACGTAAGACTCGGGTACGGGGGACTCGGGTTGGCTCGACCAGGGCCGTCATAACAATGACGAGACCCAATCTGGAACTTGACGCGAACTCCTGCCGCCGACATCCCACGAAAACGGGACCGTTGTAATCCAGGTCGCGCTCGTCAACGGCAAACCCGAATTCCGGCTTACTCGAGTCTTACGTTTCCCCGTGTCAGAAGGCTCGGAAGTCCCACGGCCAAGAACTGTTCTAAGCCTTCCCCGGAGACGCTGCACTTAGCACAGAGGGCTGGAGGGCTTCTGAGAAGAGCCGCAGCCTCCTGAGGATACCGTCTACTTCTGATCTCCCCCCTCGCTCGCCGCCGAAAAAGAAAACGAACGCGGCCCTGGCCAGAGCAAAACATGGGAGTGATTAGGCCGACGAAATAGGATGGGTCAGGCAGGGGAAGAACGGTGGTAGACGAGCAGAACGAATCGGCGGAATGGGAACGCCCGATTCGAGTCCGTTGCTTGATGAGGCAAGCGGGTCCTGGCGGAAACTGGCGCTGGACACATGGAGGCCTTCCCTTCCATGATCGGCGGCTCCAAAGTCGCGGGCGCGCAAACATGGATTAGCGATCCATGGATTTGGCGCGCGGTCGCCAAATCCATGGATCGGGGGAGATGCCCTCACCAAAATGCGGCCAGTGCCGCCTCGCTCGGCGGCGGAAATCAGCGATTCCCCTTGGAAACGGGACCCGTCGCTAATCCACGCCCCCTTACTCCATGTTCGCGATCACCTGGCAAAGAATGTTGTTTGCAAAGGGTGTGGTTTGCAACCGGCACCCTGGGGAATCTCCTGGGGGGCACCCTGGGGGCGCGCGGGGACCTCGGTGGAGTTCTCCCGCGCCCCCGCGAGGAGGCCCGACGAAGACAGCGTCGAGACACCTGGGCCCCGACGGTGCCGATCGCAAACCACACCCCCGCGTGACCGTACCCTTTGTAAAGAAGGCAGACAATCCACCCCGGAAAGGTTGTCCACGCGTCCGAACCAACTGCCCCCTGCCGCCACGAATTCACCGACCCTCGTGCAGTTGCCGTGGCCCGTCTCTGTCCATGACCATCCACGACCCCCTTTGGACGCAACTTATGTGGGCTTCGAACGGATCAGGACGGAGGATCGCGCCGCAACGTCGGTACCGCTGCTCCCCGGACATCTCCCAGGGTGCTTCTTGGCAAGAACTTCGAAGAGAATCCAGCAGTGGCGACGAGGGTCTCCCAGGAGCTCCCAAATTCCCCAAAAGCCAAATTTACGGAAGGGTAGCGGTGTCGACACCTGCTGCTCCACTGACATTGTAGCTTTCAGGTAATATGAGGGGGCCCACCAACACGCAAATAAATACACACAAATCCCAGGAGTCCCAATATTTTCCCATATTTTCAAGGTTGTCGTCCTCCCCCCCACTTCCCATATTTTCCCATATGTCCAAAAAGAAATCGACAAATCCACCGGCCCCCTTGTGGGGCCACCAGGCTGTAGGCCCGTGATTCGCAGTTTCCTGTACCAGTCGTAGGTTGTAGTTTCCAGTGTTACAGTTCTGCTTCTTGCTGGTTACTGTAACTAGTTGACTTATTGCTGGTTACTGTAACTAGTTGATTGACCGCGCGAGGGGGGGGGAGGCCCAAACCGGCTTTTTAGCACCCCCTGGGCGCGTTGTCTGAATTGCTGGGGGGGCTCGAAATCGACACCCCTCACGCAGATCCGCGGGGTCAGGGTCCAAAAACACAAGGGATTTGCCACATTTCTGAAATTCGGTGCCACCCCTCACGCAGATCCGCGGGGTCAGGGTCCAAAAACACAAGGGATTTGCCACATTTCTGAAATTCGGTGCCACCCCTCACGCAGATCCGCGGGGTCAGGGTCCAAAAACACAAGGGATTTGCCACATTTCTGAAATTCGGTGCCACCCCTCACGCAGATCCGCGGGGTCAGGGTCCAAAAACACAGGGATTTGCCACATTTCTGAAATTCGGTGCCACCCCTCACGCACATCCATCGCAAGGCGTGGTAACCCAAACTGCGAGTACTCCCTCGGCCCTTTAATCCCAAGGTGTGGTAACCAAGCTCGTAAACCATACACGTCTTACCAATCGCCCTGTGTGGTAACCCCTCTTGTGATCAGTTGGTTTTGCCGATTGCGAATCGGCCTCGCATGAAGTTCCGATACTGCTGCACGACAGCGCCAAAGCCTCATGACTTAGCTCTTCCATCGCCCATTCTCCGAGAGAGGGGGCCGGCGGCAGGGGGCGAAGCCCTTACGGATAAATAATTGTGTCTGTGTGTTTTGGTCCCTCCTGATGACAACTCGATCGTCGGGCGTCCGTTCGGGACGAGCCTGGCACCACAAGGAACGCTCCCGGCGAGGCGCACCCGCTGGAAGGCATCCCCAGGCTGGAAAGCCGCGGAGAACCAAAAAAAACATCCGAAAACCTTGAAAACCGAACCGCTGATCCACACTGTTTCCACCCGCTTGGGCTAGCGGAAGAAAAACTACAATGACACATGCTTTTGGCGCTCCGCGAGGATTTCTTGGATCCGCGCTGGACCCCTTCCTGGTGCGCGGAGCGCGCCAGGGGTGGCGCCGGAGGCGCCGCCGGGGGGGCCCAGGCGCGGATCCAAGACATCCGCGCGGAGCGCCAAAAGTTTATGCTTATGGCGTTTTCTCGTCTTCGATGGAAAGCCGCGGAGAGCTAAGACAAACGCCCGAAAACCTCGAAACCCAGACCTCTGATCCACACTGTTTCTACCTGCGTGGGCGGCATGGACCCTGGCTGCCCGACAGGGCTGCCCATTCCTTTGCTGGCGATTTCCGAGCACGCCAACGTCGTGACTGGTTCACGGCATGGACTCCTGGACTCAGATCAGCTTGGAAACGCTGAGGGTGTGTTCTCTTCCGCATCGCAGATCGGTGTTTGTCTATACGCTGAGGTGCCGATTTGCTACGATCTCAAAACCGGGATCGGCCGGTGGCCCACCTGCCCATTGTCTTTCCAGTCTCATTGCCTGGGCGCTGACGGTGGCGATGCTGCCAGCGCGCACGCTGTCGCAATGTGTAGTCGTTTTGAGATCCTCTGTGGGTGTGGCATGAATGTATTACGCCGCATTGACGCGCGCCGTGGCGTGGGGTCAAACACGAAGCTGCCCCGGTCGGACTGAGATGATCTGCAGTGGCCCTCACTGACGAGGCTGACATATGCGGACTGAGTTGCCGTGTGACTGGGCTCGCCGTAGTTTTCGCTCTTGGTGTCGAGGTCCTGCCCGTTGATCTCGGCCATGTTGGAATGCACTTTCCTGAGTAGGGCATGCCAGAGTGCGCTGATAGCGGCACAAGAATGCCTATGTGGTCATAGTCTGCGTCCTATTGCATGTCCTTGGCCCTCTGAACTTCCCCGGGAACTAACATGGTGGCATGGTGGCCTCGTCGGTAAGTAAGACGGCTGGCTGCAATCGGGCGTGATTAGAGGCCTCCTAGATGGGGTCGGAGTAGATGGGGTCGGAGGAGCGCGCCGCATCGCCAATACATCGGCGATACATCGACGATGCATTGGCGATGTACCGGCGATGTCGGCGATGCATTGGCGCCGTCGGCGTGAAGCAAGTCGGGCTCGGTATCGAGCCACATCGTCGATGCATCGGCGATGCGGCGCGATCCTCCGACCCCTTCTGCTCGGACCCCATCGAGGAGGCCTAGAGTGATGACGCGGGCCGGAAGTAGTCCAGGCTGGGCATGATGCGACAGGGGCGACAACGTGGCGACATCTCTGCATCATTTCGACCAGTCCCCGCCCCTCTCGCTGAATTCTACGTTGCACAGACTCTGATCAGATGATGATCGCAGCGGCTGGCTTTACAAATGCCGACTCAGGCGAAGCAGTCTACGTAGTTATACTTGGAACCCGCCGCAGGTGAGAAGAAGTGCGAAGCGGAGCAGGTGCAAGAACGTTGAAGCCCACCGCAAGGAAAGAGCCCTCCGGCTCCTCCCACTCATGCTCCCCCTCCTCGCCCTCTTCCTCCTCCTCCTCCTCCTCCTCCTCGCCCTCTTCAATCTTCTTCCTCCTCCTCCTCCTCCTCCTCCTCGTCCTCCTTCTCCTCCTCCTCCTCCTCCTCGTCCTCCTTCTCCTCCTCCTGCTCCTCCTTCTCCTCCTCCTACCCCTCCTCCTCCTCCTCCTCCCCCTCTCCTCCTGAGGCACTGTATTCTCGAACTCAGCACGGATTTCTTGGTTCGGCGTTGGGCTTCCTGGCGCGTGGAGAGCGCCAGGGGCGCCGTCATACGGGCCCAGCGCAGATCCAAGAAACCCGCGCGGACCTTCGAACGGTGCTTCTAAAACCGATGTCTGTGCAACCCTTTCTTCGTTGAGCCGCCACACAGGAGAAGAAGTGAGAAATGGGGCAAATGCTGGAATCCTAAAACGCAAGCGCGTAATGCTGTCCTCCTCCTCCTACCTCCTGCATCCTTCTCCTCCTC